CCGGGCGAGGTGGCGGGCGCCTGTAGTCCCAGCTACTCGGGAGGCTGAGGTAGGAGAATGGCGTGAACCCGGGAGGTGGAGCTTGCAGTGAGCCGAGATCTGGCCACTACACTCCAGCCTGGGCGACAGAGCGAGACTCCGTCTCAAAATAAAATAAAATAAAATAAAATAATTTAAAAAATAAAATAAAATAAAATAAAATAAAATCAACAGGTACTTAGAACATTTCTCATGATCAATCATAAGACATGGCCTTGATGTTATGAAGAAATACCAATGAAATCCAAGAGGAAAACAGAACTAAACTCATCGGGATGAAGGATAAACCCTTCAAGTGTGTTTCAAGTCACTCAGCTGGAGCCTCCGTTGGGCAGTGAAGCTTCAGGGTTCCCACGAGATGGGATCGGCATGAGGCTCAGTCCTGGCCTCTCTTGAAACACTGCGCATTTGCAGGAGTGCCGGCCCACAGGGCAGGAAGTCAAGACTGTCAGAGCAAGTGCTGATCCTGAAGCTGGAAGGACTTGCAAGGCCTCATTCCCCAAACTCCTTTTGTTTTTTTTAAACCTCTGCTTATCTTAAAAAATGGAGAGGCAGGTGCCCTAGCAACCTCTCAGGAGTAACTGACACACGTGACTTGCGGTGTCTTCAAAGGAACAATCTGCAACTTGCTACTGTTTACACAGATCAAGACTAACAGTCGCCAGCAGCTGGTTCACGCATAATGTCCTTTGCAAGGGAAAGAAAACGGCACTGGAGGGCCGACTACAGAAGCAGACAGTGCATGGTGGACATCTGCCCCTTTTGGGAGCCCTCCCACGGTGCTTCCTGAAAACTCAGGTTAAGCTGACTCTGCTGTCCGGCTGATGAGGCTCCTTTGCTCAGCACACCAGCCCAAATAGAAGAGCAGGTGCTATGGCAAAAATGAGTTCTTGTAGCGACTATTTTTCATACTGAAACTGAAAAGCGAGACCAGCAGAGCTGTCCACAGAGCCCCTGACAGTTAGGCCCGGCTTTGGCTGCTGATGCAAGTGCTGGATGACGCTATTTCTGCAGGCGCTGGCTGCAGGCGCTGATCCACTGCGGGATGTGCCCCGAGAGGCAGAAGAAACGCTGGGAACCGCACACCTGACCTTGCCAGCATCCCCCAGGCAAAGCCAGGCACTTTGGGTTCATCGGTGGAGTTGGGCGATACTCCTTTCCCGTTTGTGTGCTTAGCTGCTGCCAACAGGATGCTAGGTGAAGCCTTACAGAACACAGCCAGTTGTGTGTTTTATAAAGCAAGGCTCCCCTCCCCCAAAGACAAATAAAACCGCGGGTATGGAAGGGACACCCTCCACCACACCCCGCCCTAATAATCTGGCACCGCAGGCAAAGGCACGGCCTGTGTGGGTAAGGTCCATTTTCGACGTTTACAACTTCCTGTTCCCTGATGCCTCAACTTCCCCACAGACCGACACACCTGTGATGGGCAGGGCCGTGACCTCGTGACCCTCACACACCAATGCAGCCCCTCACGTCTCCTGCTCTTTCCCCCACCGCTGACTTGCCCAAGGGTCCCGACTATCTGCCCTGCCTGTGGAGCTGCCTCCCGTGTGCCCCCCGAGGCCCCTTGAGGTGCTGTGCCTTCCATGGGACCTGCACATCTAATAAACCCCGGCAGTTCACCCGCTCTCCCAGCCACCCTTCCAGATCCCACTTACGACACACGACTAAGTAATGCAGTACAGGCCGTGTATTCATATTTGTTTTCCTGTGCCAACTCATCTGGTATCTTCGTATTTTAATGGATAAAACTAAAAGACGACAACCTGAAAGCCCAGTGCATTCCTCTCAAATTGAGTGACGTTTACAACACCTTAATTATAAAAGACTTATCTGATCTGCAAGAAAGCAGAGTGCACAGAAACTTCACCGCCAACTGCGGATGGCCTGAGAGCATCTGGGTTTGGTTCTCAGCCTGAAGGAGCATCCTGGAATGGCGTGTCTCGTCCATTGATGTGGAGACACATGGAACAGGCTTGGGGCTCTGAGCAGGGCTCCTGAAGCCCCTCAGCCGGGAGGAAGCCAGGCCCACGAGAGGGGCGCCTGTTCCAGAAACACACGAGGATGAAAGCTGTTATTGGCAAAGGAGACTTAGAGAAGGAAATGCCCAGGAATAAAAAAAAGATTACGTATTTAGAGGCCAGGTGGGGAGGCTCATGCCTGTACTCCCAGCACTTCAAAAGGCTAAGGCGAGTGAAGACTTGAGTTCAGGAGTTTGAGACCAGCCTGGCCAACATGGCAAAACCACATCTCCACTAAAAATATTAATACAAAAAAGCTGGATGTGGTGGCGCACACCTGTAGTCCCAGCTACTCAGGAGGCTGAGGCAGGAGAATCGATCACGTGAACATGGGAGGTGGAGGCTGCTGTGGACTGAGAACAACAAACCCCACAAGAACTAACTTCAGCAAACATGAAACTTTACCATACGCTGAGTCCAGCAGTTCTCTCTCCATCTTTCTATTCCACTTCTCCCTCTCTGCCTCAACCTAGGGCAAGACAGGCTTGACCCGACGGGTCATGGCTCTGTACAATAATTTAGTCTTACATGACTGAGATGCTAAGTATGTAAGAACACTCATGACTCAAGGCTTGGGAAGGGCTCTTTAAATTTGCTTTTTTAATGCATAAATAAATCCATATTATGTATTACTTTCTGGAAAAGGGTTAAACTCAAACATCTGAAATACTTTCATTATACCAGGTCAAGAAAAATGCCACAGCCAGAAAAATTTATTTTAAAACAGAAACATACATTAAGCTTTAAAACAACCAACTCTCAAACAAAAGAGGAAAGAGCCTTTGATCCCAGAGTCCACGCGGAATGAATTCCGTATGTGTTTGAAATTCACATAAGGAGCACTTAGAAAACCACCTGAAATGGAACTCCCACAGCCCCCTTGCCTGTGAGGGCTCCCGCACCTGCCAGTGTGAGGACATGGCCGACCCCCGGACACTCGCGCGCCGGGAGCCACCACAGCTCAAGGTGACTGGCAGCGCCCAGCTCTGTGACCAAGACAGACGTTCACACGTGGGGGCACCGTGAGCGCCACCAGCTCCAAATCTGATGTGAGGGACGTGGGAGATGTCTGAGAAATGTCCAAAGCGATTTTGGCAACACAGAAAATGCAATGTCTGGGAATTCCACCAAATGCTTCCAAAAATACTCATGGACAATTCAAGTCGCACGTGGCCAGCGGCAGCCCGGGCGGCCTTCAGTCTGTGTGGGGTGCCCGTGTGGCCTTCTCCTCGTAGGACTCCCCGAACTCGTTCACTCTGCGTTTATCCACAGGATAAAGCCTACAACGACACAAATGAACACATCAGCAAACCCCACTGCAGGGCCTATTTTCCTAAGAGGAGGACTTGGCATCCTTGATTTATTTTCCAGTGAGCGGCCACAGTGAGCAAATTAACTAAAAAGTCGATCCTCAGAAGTTTTACTGCTGAGGGCTGAGGAGGGATTTCTGAGTTGTGTTTTGTTCTGCATGGCCAGGCCAATGCACTGCTCTCTAGGAAAGGGAAGCTTGGCCAAATGGAGGACCCGGAGGCTGCACTGGCTGCCTTCTGGGAACTGTGGAATCACGGAGACCTGCGCGATCAGAACAGGAACTGCCATGTTCAGGGAGCGCGTCTCCTCAGCTGTGAACACTTGGCAGGACACTGCCGCCACCTTTGATCCTGAGCCCCCAAGGCTTTGCCAACATCACCCCTACGTATGGATGAGGAAGCCGTGGCGTGAGGGGCAGCTCCACACAGCCACGAACAGTAGACGTACAGGGTTTCAGCTTAAAAACGGACCTGCTGCCCACCAAGGGCCCTGTGGTCCTGGCCAAACACCGTTTGCAGGTCTGGAACCAGAAACACACAGAGCCCGAGTGTAGCACAGTTTCAGGCACGCCCTGGGCCACCTGCGAGGACTTGGGAGCCACCTGAAGGGATCACGGTTGAGACGGGACCCTGAAGAGTGACAACCACGCCAGGCGCAGCAGCTTCTGGGGCTCCATGGCTTGGACAACCTCAAGCTCTGCAGGGGGCAGGAGGCCAACTAGGGGATCTGAGAATGGTGAACGGGGGATGGGAACCAAGCCCCGTGTGAGCGTGAGTGTTGCTTACGGGGAAACAGCCCTTCCTGCTGAGACCCAGGCTGGAGCTCCAGTGCAGGGGCTGCACGAGACAGCAAGGGGGTGGGTGGGCAGCCGGCTGCCAGGCCTGGAGAGCTAGGCAAGGGCGGCCATGCGCCACTGTGTGGATGTGCCAACTGCACCTGAACAAAGAGTTAAAACAGGCCGAACAATGCCAGCCTCACGCTGGCCGGGACAGAGGCTCCGAAACACCCGGCGAAGCTGTGTGTGGAGACAGGCGGGGATGGGAGCACTGCGCTCCCCAAGGGCCGGCAGCCCAGACCGAGGCAGGACCCCCCAGGACGACCTGGGGGAAAAGGCTCTCTCTCCAGCACTAGGAGGATGCCCAGGCCTTGAGGGGGGCCATGGCCTGGGAAGGGCGCACGGAAGTGTCACAGCCATGGTGTATGAGTGGTGGCCTCCTGGTCGGGGCGGGGGGAGATGGGAAGAGGGATCTCGAGGGTCAGAGAAAGGATACAGCCAGGAGGCTCTGAGACACTTGGCAATAGGCCTTGGGGGTGACACACACTCCTTCCACCCCTGGACAAGGCCTGGGGCCGGGACTGGAGGTGAGGGCAGTGCTTGCAGTGGTCCGGATACAACCCTCCTGAGGGGAGCCCCAGATCCCTGGCTCCTACCCTGGCACAGCAGAGCTGAGGGAGCTCTTGCTGACTGAGAGGGCAGATGTCAGCCCTGGAGGGAAGCAGGAGGCCCGGGGCGGGACCTGAGCCTCTGCGTTTAGAAAATTCCGAGGCCCGGGGCGGGATCTGAGCCTCTGCGTTTAGAAAATTCCACAAAGCCTTTTCCTTAGCCGTCAGCCTTCGACCTGAAGGCCAAGCCAGGAGGTCAACACAATGTCATCTTCAGAGGCCCGGGTGGCTGGTTTAAGGGGTGTGGCCAATGTTGAGGTGAGGGCGCTCTCCAGTGACATTCTGCCCTGCAGGGACACACAGCCCAAGAGTGGCCCAGAGCCTGTTCCCGACGCTGGAGACCTGGACCCCAGGACTGCCAGCTGGACACCTCAAGGCTAGTGCCAAGTATGGATTAGTCGTGCTGCGGTCTCTGTTCTGCTCAATAGCAATGACTGTGAATAAGTAAATAGCTTAAGGAGAGAAATTTGCTTTCAGTGGCTAATCAACAATTCACATAGAAATGAGCATTTCTAAAGCACAATGAGGAGACAGAGCTGCAACAGTTTCTTGCCAGGTCATATCATGGGCAACTGGAACCCAAGTTTAGGCAAGACAGGAAAAACCACCACCCGCCAATTATCTTTGCCTTCAAATGGACACACAGGCGCAGGGTGCCGTGAAAGCCGTCATTCTGTTCAGCAGCAGCGCCACGCCGCTGAGACGGACCAAGAGCTGAGCGTGCACAGCCGCACTCACCACCGCTGGTACAGGTAGACCAGGAACACCACGTCGTCCCGGAAGCAGGCCAGCCGGTGAGACGTGGGCATGGTGATGATGAAGGCAAAGACGTCATCAATGAAGGTGTTGAAAGCCTGCAGGGCCAGACGGGAGGAAGGTGAATCCCAGTTGCTGGGACTGGAATCCTATTGTTTCTGGTAACCTAACCAAGCAAATGGCTTTGGGCAGATACTTGGAACTAACTGGAACTCTTCACAGCAACAATGAAAAGAGCAGAAAGCCGGCAAGTGGAGACACAACGCTCTGTTCCCTCAGGGGTTCCCCACAGCCGCTGGCACCTGACACACTGCAGGTCTCGCCCAGGCTCCCACCCACATCGGGGAACCCAAAGAGAACAGGCTGAAACCAGAGCCAAGGGGAGAGCCAAGGGCAGAGCCGCCCGAGACAGAGCCAAGGGGAGAGCCAAGGGCAGAGCCGCCCGAGACAGAGCCAAGGGGAGAGCTGCCCGAGCATTGCCCTTTCCTCTGGGAGCTTGTACTTGACTTCAGAAAAGTGCAAATTACATCCCATTAACTCAGCTCCGCCTGCAATGCTGAGGCACTTCTAATCCCACACGGAGCCAAGGGGGCCTCCACAGCTCTACCCGCGGGGAATGGCCACGGCCCACTGGGGCTTCCATTCCTGCCTGGGAGGCCTGAATCCACTGTCCCCAGGCACCGGTTACTGGGCCACAGGGATCTGTGTCTTGACACACATGCTAAGAAGAAACATAAAAACTAAAAAAAACAAACCAAAACCAAATCTGTGACAAGTGAGAGAACCCCAGTCTTTCAGGGTCTGAAGTTCTCTACAGCTCTTCGCTTTTCTTAAAGGAGCCTCCTTAATATTTTTCAGTGGAAGGGACGGCTGCAGATGCACTCTGGGCAGAGACTGCCCCGGTAATGCTGGGGCTGGAAGACGCCCTCACTCATGCTCTGCTCAGTGAGAGGGGACTCCTCGCCAACTGTCACACTCACCTTGTAGGTGAAGGCCTTCCAGGGCAGATGTGCCACTGACTTCAACTGAAACAGGAGAGACAGGCACAGGTCAGCTGCGGGCAGCACAGGAGATGGGGGCTGGGCCGCAGGCAGCACACATCACCTTACCTTGTAGTTCACAAAGAGCTGGGGCAACATGAAGAGGAAGCCAAAGGCATAGACCCCTGCAGAGAGACAGACAGCACTCACCAGGCGTGGAGGGCTGGGCTGCCACGTCTGTGCATAGCGGGCAGAAAACAAGGTCTGCCATCCCGACAACTTCAGAGTCTGTCATTGTGTGAAGCAACTTTCTGGCTGGTAAGTTTATCAAGAGTCTGTGACAACTTTGGAGAGCAAAGCTCTTCTATTTATTCATCAGTGTAACTGCTGCCCATGGGGTCAAGTGAGTGAGGGCGCTGGAGCACCCTGGGGCTGAGGACACGGCCTCCTGACCCACAAGGTCCTGCCCCAGGGGTCAAATGTGGCGCTCCAACCAGGTGTGGGACTCCCACCAGGGAGGATGGCAGTGCGGGACCCACCTGCTCTGCACCAGACAGGCCCTCGCCCTTAATGCTCACGGGACCACTCCCCAAAGAGACCACAAAGCTGTGATCAGGGCTGGTCTGGTGGGGCGGGGGAATGGACACAGCAGCCCATGCAGCTGAAGGTGCCACCTGGGGCAGGTGGGGGCAGGCGGGCCTCCCAGGACATGTGGCCCCGAGCACAGGGCCCTGCAGGGTCCCCACAGTGCATCGGCAGGAGAGCCTGGTGCTTCCATTTGCTCTAAGGAACCAGACGTGGATGGTGTTGTTTTAATGGTTACTTGTTTTCATGAAGAAAACAGACAACAGTCCCGTACCACACAACGCTGTTGTGATCAGCGACGCACACGGATAGCAGGCGGCTGCACCACACAGCCTGGTGTGGAGTGGCTGCCGCATCTGGTGTAAGCACTCCCTGTCGCTTGTACAAGGACCTGTTTCTCAGAACCAGTCACTGTTGCGAAGCTACGCAGGGCTTTATCTGCTCACAGCCTGGGGGGAGCCCTGGACACCGCAGAGGCACCTGCCACACTGGGTTACAATGTGAGAACAATTAAATTGGTGCCTGCTGTAAATACTATTACTGAAGTAGGGAAGCACATGGACTCACCATTGACAAAGCTGTTGATTAACCAGGAGTACCAGCTGAAATGGAAAAAAAAAAGGAGAAGTCCCATTTCTTGCATAGCTTAGTATCTGTATTAAATTGACGAAAAATAATTCTTTCATTAAAAATTCTCTAAAAAAAACCCCAGGTGTTCTCACTGCAGCTAGGCAGCCAAGAGCAGCAGTGCTGAGCCTGGTTCTCAGGCTGGAGACAGCGCTGAGCGCCCCCGCCCAGGCAGCAGAGGCCAGGGGCTCTGGGACCCCTCTCAGCTCAGGGCCAGCACCCTGCTCGGGCAGCAGAGGCCAGGGGCTCCGTCGCCTCTCGGCTCAAGGCCAGCATCCCACCCGGGCAGCGGAGGCCAGGGGCTCCAGGACCCCTCTCAGCTCAGGGCCAAGCTTCCCATGAAGCCTGGTGGCCGGAGTCAGTCCTCTCAGCTACACCTTACCGGTGGGGGGACACTGAGGCCCAGAGCCCACCATGCGCAGCTGCAGGGTCAGGATCCCTCCCAGGCACTCGCCCAAGTGCCCTGGCCCCTAGCTTGCCCTCCAGCCACACTCCGCTCTGGCTCAGTCATCCAAATGGCTTTCTCAGGGGAAAGACGGAGCAGGTGAAGCGTATGCGGCCTCCTACCTCTTATACTTGATATTCAGGAGGGAATAGACAGCACCCCCGACACAGAGAGGGTACAGCAGGTATGACAAGTACTTCATGGCCTGCGGGGAACAAAGGGAGCTTCCAGTTAGAGGCCCAAACGCCAGGCCTGTGTAAACGCACTGCATGGAGCTCACTACGACAGGGACAGACAGAACGAGCTACAGCACTCGGGGCGGCAGGGCTGCTCTGAAGGGGGCGGGCGGTGTGAGGGGCGTACGTAGGGCTTCATGCACTCGCCACAGCAGCCCAGGAGGCACCGCACGCGCCACAGCCCGGGTGTAACTACAGGCGCTAGTTAACAATAATAGATCAATTTGGGCTGGTCAAAACCAACCGATCCACAACAAATCAACAAACATAATGGAAAGACACCTGAAAAAACTGTCTACTAAGTAATGTAGTTACATCGCCAGCTGTATCTATTGATTTCAGCTTTACAACTCCATGAAAGTTAGATATAAGCTGGTGAACATTAAACCAAACCAAAATCACTCCTGTGCAGAAATGTTCTTTTAACTTGAACTGAGACTTCCAGCTCCCCCAACAGCACTGGGGAAAGGTGATGCTCTGTGCTTCTGGGGCCGATCCTCCAGGCCACCGAGCTGCCGAGGCCGTTACGGCCTTGGTGACAGCAAGTGCGTTCCCAGCAACCACAGCAGATACCAAGCCCTGTGTCAGCTGCCTGGCAAATGTGACTTACAAACGATGAAAATACCCCTACTATACAGTGACACAGGCAGGCTGTGCCTTTAAGGACTGGAGAATGAGCGTCTCTGCAAGCCCCCGTCCTTCCCAGTAAGAAATTTGGGTTTTATGTGTTCACTCTCGGGATCCCTGCTCAAGGCGGGCTGACCCGTACTCCAAGGAGACTTCCGCACTGAGCAGTGACAGCAAGAGCCCCGTCTTCGAGGATGTGGGATGTGCCTGGCATGCACGTGCCCTGAATCACATGTGACTTACCTGAGTATCGTACTCCTCGGTTTTCCTCTCAGATTCGCTGTAAGCGCCAAACTGTTGTGAAATTCAACACAGGGGATGTTAACAGACTCAGGGAGGATCTGAGCACAGGTGAGCTGTGACTAAGGGGCGTCACACATGGCTGCAGAGCTGACCCAGGCCTCGCTACAGAGGGCGCTCAGGTCCCTACTGGCCGAGGAGAGGACCCAGAGGACAGGGATCTGCATGGACCCTTCCCACCTCACCCTGGCCCTGGGTCCCGCAGGCCTGAGCGGGGACAGCGCGGCCTCACTGCTGTTCCTTGTTGGGTGGCTCGGTTTTCAGTGCTGCTGCTTCACAGTGAGAACACTGCAGAGGGCACAGGCACAGCCGACAATGCTCTGAACCAGCCGGCCAGGAGTCACGGAGCCAGGCTGGAACACAGAGGCTGCGCTGTATCTGCTGGGCTTCCTGCCCTTCCTCTGCCCACAGCATGGAAAATCTCAGCCGTGACTGCTGAGGGCCCCGCCTCAATCAAGGTCCATCTGTGGGCATTGAGATTCAGCTCCAGCTCTGCCCCAGCCCTCATCTGCCTAAGGGCCTCATGAGCACCCAGGCACTGGGGCAGCCACAAGAGGCAGGGGTTCGCTCACTTGGGGATTGCCAGGACTGTACTGACCCCAGTCAGCACCAGCCTCGGAAGCGCGCCCTATGCAAGGTGCCAAAATGAAGCACTCCCGCTGGCCGGCCAGCGTCCTTTCTCCCAGAGGCCGGCTCAGGCCCAGAAGCGCTGCCATCGGCATTGAAGAGGGTCAGAACTAGGTACATGACTGGGGAGTCCTCAGGTGAAGAGAGTGGCTGCGATCGGAAACCAGTGCTGCCTCCACCACGGAGGCTCCCGACAGAGGCCCACAGTGACTCATCCGCGGATGGCCACTTTACTCTGCGCGCAGGAGGCAAAACCACACTCTTCAGAGAGGGCGTGGGGTTCAGCCACTACAGTTAAATCCTACCTGAAGTTCAGGTATCAGGCCTCTCCAAAGAATAGTCATCTTCAATGCCTTCTTCACTTTCCACAGCTGAGGGGAGAAATCAGGAAATAGTTCCTTTAATATTCGAAGGCCACAAGACCCCGAATGAATGACCCAGATGGTAACGGATAGGACCTGCCGCCCACGGCCCCGCCCAGCCCACTGTCCTCTTCCTGTCCCTCCCACAGCTCAGGGGAGAATGGTGGGGGCCGGACCTGGGCCTCTAACCCACACCCGGCAGGTATACCTGGTCAGGTGGGCTGCACAGCCACCGACCAGCAGACGACAAAAACCAGCATGCAAGTGCGGTTCTCTAAACCACCCTGCCTGCACCCAAATTAGCCCCCACCTCCTTCTGCCTGGCACTTGGGCAGCCGTGGAGCCTGTTTCAGGACCTCTCTGAGAGCTGCCACCACCTGGCTGCATCCTTGGAAGGCATCATTCACAGAGGACTGGTGCCTGAGCCGGGCGTGGCACTGTGACTCGTACCTACGGAGGGCCCCGCCTGCGGTGCTCCAGCACCGTCTAATCCAGCTCCTCCTCAACAGGCATGACGGCCGTGCAGGACCCCACCCACAAACGGGCCACCAACTACGGGGCCCTCAGACTCTGGCTCCTGCCGGGGTGGCACAGTGCTCAGGGAGGAGCTAGGCGGGTGTCTGGGCCCTCTCACCCCGAAGGCCATCGGCCCCTCAAGTTTTGCTCCCAAGCTGGCCCTGCCCCATGAGGCTCCCTTTTGGCTGGCTTTTCTGAGCTCCGAACAGGGCTGGACCACAGGGCACCGAGTGATTTCCGTCACTGCCCACCTGGCCGCCGTGCTCAGCTCTGCAGCCACAGCACGAGCCTCTCAAGGCCCCACGGTTTACGCCTCTGCTTTGCGCGTGGTGGGATTTCTCAAACACGTAAACCACTCTGCTTGGTGGACAGGCCTCAGGAGCTGATGCCATCAGAACACCCATTTCCCTGCTCTCCACTTGTTCAAAGCCTTTATAGCCACCGCCTGCCATTCCACAGCTTCCAGAACACCGAGGCCGTCGGGAACAAGCACGCAGGCTTCCACGGAAGGTCTCACACGCTGGGCCTGAAAGCCTTTCCCGAGTGCGCGGAGGCCCATGGACCTCAGACAGTTCAGGTCACTGCCTGGAACTCACCTCGATGGCGGCTCCAACGCCCGCCGGGACCAGCACCAGCAGGCTCGTCTGCTCGTCCAGCAGGAACAGGAAGATGACCACGGTGCTGAAGCAGCGCCAGAGCACTGGGGACAGGACGGTCGGGCTGGGAGGGGGTGCAGGGCAGACCCCGCCTGTGTGCCCCCAAGTCGCACACATACCCCCAGTCCCCCATCCCAACCCCCACGCCCGAGAAGCTTCAGGTACTCCCCAGTCCATGTCCCCCTGTTTAAAAAGAACAGGGAAGTATCCAGCAGCCAGGAAAGTGTCTTGAAGGCTGCTGAACTAACAGCTGGCCCCACACCAGCTCCACAAACACGTGTCTGAGCCACACACACCAGCTCCACAAGCACGTGTCTGAGCCACACCTGCAAACGAGCACGGCGCGTGGGCAGAGGTCGGATGACGGCCAGCACAGCTTAGATTCCAGGCAGGTCTTATGCTGGTTCTGTGATAAGCGCGTGGCTTTTCAAGTCTGGACTGGTTTCCTCCCCAGCCTGTACCTTAACAACCACTCCAGCTTATTCAACACGTCTTCCTCCTCCCGCAAACCCCCAGGGCAGGCAGGGGAAGCAGATCCATGGAGCCACACGACAAACAGTGCTCATGGCCACAGCGCTGTCTGCTGGCCACCCCAACCCGGGACGCCGGGAAAGGCATTAGGGTTAGGAGACTCCACCATAGAGCACGGCAGGGCCCCAAGGCAGCCAGGGCCCCCTGCTTGGGCATCTTTTCGAGAAAAACAACTTGTTTGGGTCTCTGATCCTGGAGCCGAACACTCCTCATTCCTAACCAAGACTCACCCACTTCTCGTCCTCACACCGCCAACCCCTCGCCCCTGTCCAGACCGCCGCTCCCCACCCCACTGTGACAACCTCCACCCCTGCAAGGTCAGAAGGACCCTCACTCACTTGGGCCCCCTAACCACGGCAGGCACCCTTGGCCAGGAACACTGGTCCCAGATCTTGGCAGGCCTCCTGCCCGGGCTGCCTGGCCTCAGGGGTCCCTGACCGCCCTACCTAACAGCTGCACACTCCCTATCGCTGCCGGGCACAGTACCACGGGCCTATCAACTGCCATCACCTGGCAGGCCCCACACACCCAGGCCTTCGCTGGTCGGGGAAGGAAGACCCGCGGGAGGACGGGGCGAGGGAACTAAGACAGGGGATGTGAGGCCCCAGCCCCGCTCAGCGCCCGTGAGCAGCCGGGAAGGCTCGAGAGCTCCATGCTTCTCACTCCTCACAGCCCAGGCCCAAACCCCATGCACGCCAGAGTCCACAGCCAGGCCCTGAGCTATGCAGCCTCCGGCAGTCACACCACACACATGCCAGTTTGCAGCCAGGCCCTGAGCCGCGCAGCCCCCGACAGTCCCACTGCAATTGCCGCAAAGGCTCTCTGGGTTTTACAGTGCCTGGTCTCAGAGGCTTCTGAAGAGCCAAGCACACACCCGGCGCTGTGTCTGCAGCCAGCAGTGAGGCGGGCAGCCCTCAACCGCAGGCTCCAGTGAGCATCCCCGGGACAGAGGATCTGAGCAGGGCCACGCTCGGGGCGCCTACCTGCCTTGGTGGACATGCCGATCATGCTCTTCTTCTTCTTCCAGAAACTGATGTCATTTTTAAAGGCCAGGAAATCAAAGAGAAGCTGGAGAGAACACACACGACAGCAACTCACATCTCCTGCTGTTTCCATCTCCCGTGAGACAGAGATAGAGGCCTCACGTGTGACTGTGAGGCTGCAGTGTGCTCAGCCTCAGGACGCATCAGGACAGATGTCTACACCCGCACCTCCATGCACCTGGCCTGCCATGTCCTGTCAGAACCTAGAGTGCCCAGGCAGGCTTTGCAGGGGCCCTTCTGAAATAATGACTTGAATTGCTGGAAAGACCCACAGGCAATTGGAGGCTCTGGATTCCCCTGGACTGTGGGGCTGGCTGGGCATCCCGACCCTGCTCTCGGGTTGTGGCTACTCAGGGCAGCCTCACCTCTCAACTTGCTAGAAATGCAGGGGCTGGGCGTGGTGGCCCATGCCTGTGGTCCCGGCTACTGCAAGGCCAAGGCCGGAGGACTGCCTAAGCCCAGGGTTTTGAGACCAGCCTGGGTAACATAGTGAGACCTGTCTCCAAAAGAAAAAAAACTTAAAAAAACCTAACCATGCATGAGCTCATCCTTAGAGACATCGACCTTTTAATAAAAATCATTTAATTCTCCAATGTGGCTTTAGAAAGTTTTAGCTTGATGGGCAGCCAAACTCCCAGGCACTCAGAACCAGTGCCAGCCGCACGCCTGGGTGCCTCCTCACCCTTCCAGCCTAACCACAGGCCAGCCTACCAGCCACAGGATGGCTCTCCTCGAGCAGCTCAACTCCACGGGCGAAA